GCTGGTGGGACACTGCTTCAGAGCTGTTGCCTGGCTAACAGTCTGTCTTCCCAGCTCTGAAGGCAGCATAGAAGGAAGGGTATCAATACTGCATCCCCCTTAAAATAACCTTGACACCTTTGCAATTCCCTTTTGGTTCAGAACCCCCAATTTGAGAAACACTGTTCTCCCCCATAAAATCTGTACAGTATAGGTTAAAAGCACATAGAAGACTGGTTTTGGGGGGCAGGGGGAACCAGATTTCATGTATTTATGGTGGTGAGTGTGGTAATGCCCTAGCTATAGCTGCATGCCTGTTAGCCAGGCGAAAGCAGTTAACTCTTTTCCTTTAGCCTCACAGTACACCCGAGCTTTGTACTAACGCACATCCTATTGTGACATTGCTATAATAGAGCTGTCCCCAAAATAACTATCCTCAGCTAATCAAAACCACTATTAGAGAAGAAGCACACTGATTTGAGACCTCCAGTGATGGCAGCATTGCCAGATATCCTGAGGCACTGACAGGACAATGTCACCAGCTGAGACACACTGATTAACATGCTTGCCCCAGCTGGCTTCCTATGAAGGTCACATTTCCACTGAGGAATAGATGATTTAGAGCACACTTGCAAACCTTGGATGGGTTACATTTACAAGACAGGTGCTTCTGTTCCTTAGCAATGGAGGCATCTCACTTTCTTTGCACATGTATTTATTTATTGGAACAGATGAAATTGCATAATGTTATAAAATAGCGGTGACTTTCTTTTGGCAGCATTTATTTTTTGGAGAGAGGATAAAAGGTGAATTTATTTTGGGGGAGAATGGAAGTTGTGGTTTTGAACATCAAGGGAGGACTTTGGTCAGGAGCACTGGCAACTGATTACCTAAATAAGTGGTAAGTCTCTAAGACACAGGAACCCCTTCACACTAAGGATGTTAAGGATTAGTTGACTATCCGATAAGCAAATGCTTATTGGATAGTCTGTTGACTAGTCAACTACAGTAGTTGATTTCCCTCCCCCCTTGCTGCATCCATCAGATAAAGGAAACCAAGGGGGATGGGAGGACAAGAGGGGGTACTTCAAAGCAGCAGTGCTGCACAGCTTAGCCCAGAATCAGCTGTGCAGTGCTGTCTCATTGAAACGCTGAGGCAGCGCTTCAAAGTGGCAGTGCCGTGTGGAGCCCAGGGTCAGTGGGCTCCATGCAGCATTTCCATGGAGCCTGTGATCAGCTGGGGAGTCCACAGGTTTTGTTAAAATGCCTGGGCTCTGCATGGCATTTTAAATTGGCAGCACAACATGGAGCCCGGCGTCAGTGGGGGACAACTCCACGAGAGCGATTCCGCTTTGAAATGCACAAGAGCCACTGCTGAGGACTCTTGTACATTTTGAAACTTTCACGCCCCCGTACAGCGTGGAGTCAGCGGGACCTCCCCCTGGCCCTGGGCTGCACGCAGAGTTACGCATTCCTCCTTTGAACTGTACAAGAGCCCCAGCAGGACGTAACCACTAGTCGAGTAGTCTATGGAAATTCCATCAACTACTCGATTAGTAAGTTAACTGCTAATTAACATCCTTACTTCACACACAGAACTTTAGCCCCTCCTCTCCACAGTTCTGAATTGGAGGATGGGAGATTTTTGCAGCAAGAACCCTGTCTGCATGAGAATTTTTGTGGAGGAGACTGAGAAGGGGTGGAGAGGAAGTCAGGTTGTCAGGGTCATATTGACCATCATGAATGCACCACTCCAGGGAGGTTCAGAGCTGACTGGATAGGAGCTGTTAAGGGGAAAACTTCCTGACTGCACAAGGTACACACACCCCTGTCAATAGGACAAGCTCTCAAAAAGAATGGATATTCAGGGTGCGTTAACACAGCACCCTTAGTTCAAAAAAAAAGATATGTAAATTGCAAAGCTTATTTTGATGCTATTTTGAAATTATTTCATAATTTGGCAATGTCTAGACAGTGCCAAATTTCAAAATTCTCCTTAACCCTCATGGAACAAGGGTTACTGGGATGTCTGAATAAGCCTCCCATTATTTTGAAATAGACGCAGAGTAGCTCTTTCAGGATACTTCCAGTATCCCAAAATAGCTCCGCTGTGTCCCTTAGATGCCCACAACATTTCTTGTAACAAGAGGAGCCTATCCCCAGCTATTTAAAAGATAGAATGTTTTTGATGCTGAAGTCCAGAAAAATCCTTTGGAATGAAGAAATCCAGAGGCAAAGACACTGTCAAATAGCTGGAAGCTGAAGCTAGAGAAATTCAGACAGGGAATAAGATGTAAATATATTTGACAGTGAGGATAATTAACTACTGGAACAGTTTACCAAGGGTTGTGGTGGAGTCTTCATCACTAACCTATTTTAAATGAAGATTTAAAAAAATTTAAAAAAATCTGCTCTATGAAGTATTTGTGGGAGTCTGATGGCTTGTCTTACACAGGAGACCTGACTAAATGATTGCAATGGTCTCTTTTGGCCTTGGAATCGGACATTGAGAAGAATCAGCACTATTTTGATGCCGTATAGGGAAAGTCTGATGGATCCCATGAGCTCAGGCTCCTCAGAGGAGGAAGCATGGATTTGGGGTGCATGTTATTGAGTAGCTTTCATACAGATTTATGAGGCACATGGCTCTAAAAGAATTTTTCCTGGTGGAGGCCAGTGAGATAGTGAAAGTAGTTAAATTGCATGAAGCTTTAGCACCAACTGTCTCGGCATTGTTTGGTTACTTGCTCTGAATGCTCTTTTGTCAGGTGTCCTAGCATTCCACTTTCTTTGCTGTCTTGTTCAGTTTCTATAATGGACTGCTAAGATGTAGATTGTCACTCTTTTGGTGGAAAGCAGAAAAGTCAACAAGGCTGTTTTGTCCTCCCCCACTCTTTAAACTTTCGCCATTCTCTAGAAAAGCAAATAACTCAAATATAAAGGTGTCAATGAGTTGACACTATAATCATCCATGATCCACTGACATGAGAGGATATACACAGACAGAATAGTGGAACAAATGCACTACAAAGCCACCATCTGCTGCACACATAACAGAGTAATTTTTATTGAACGGGCATCATAGGTGCGCTTTTTTTCAACTAGCAGAGAAATTCTACATAATGAATACCATCTTTTCTGGACTCAGTGAACTTTCAGTTAAGAGATCAGAATAAACCATTAAACTGTCAGTGAGCATGCTTTGAGACTTTTTACCAAAAAAATGACCACCTATAAGGCAGTGGTGGACAACCTGTGGCCCACATGCAGTCCATTGGGGTTGTGTGTGAGACCCACAAAACATTGTTTATTGTTGCCCAGTCACAGGGTTGCCAAATTCCACTGGTTTCCAGCCACATAGCTTGCCCCCCCCCCTTTTCTTACAAGTGTTAGTGAAGTGACACATGCATAATAGAAGCTGTTACCTGAGGTGGGTGGTGATTGCACACAACACAGAGCTGTGCACTTGCTTTGCATCTAATCAAAGCACTGGTATAGTTCAACCAGCACACCCTTCGATCCCAGGAGACTGTCTGTTACAATAATCTTGCAGCCCACTGAGATGGAGGGCCGCTCATGTGACCCACTCACTAGTCTAAGTTGCTTATTACTACTACAACATATTTGATCGTGACTGATTTAAACTAAGTTCTTTGAATCTTTCTGAAGGATTTTCCATTGGCCATGTAAAAGTAGAATTTAAAAGAACATTATATATATGCACTTACACACATATATAAAAATATATAGCATAGAACTATGTGACCTCTTAACCAAGGCATCACAAGCATTACATCAGAAGAGTTTCAAGTTTCTTAATAACAAACAAGCCCATTAACTGTATATGATACATAAGCTGGCAAAAATCATTGCAGTGCGTCTTCATCATAGTGTTGAAGTTTTTACTATAATGTTCACTTATCACCTAAATAGGTCAAAATTAACTAGGCCATCAGGTGTTATCATGCAAGATTAAATGTTTCTTGGCCCTAAAAGAGGTGATATATACACATGAAATAGCCTACTGAGGAGCAATCATGTAGCCCAGTAAAGTAATAAAACACTGATTTCAAATTACATCTTACAATTTTTGCTACTACTTACTGTATACTTTGGAGATGAATTATAATCAAGCAGACACCATTATGCTGCCACTAGTGCTAATATACTATGCTTAGTGAAGAAAAGCATTTTCAATAAGCCAGGAAGTGCCCATAAATTTATGCTACTCAAGAGACTTGCTGGAGGTTCTCTCTTATGAAAACTCAAGTAGTGAGCAGCTAAAAATTTATTTAAGCTCCCCATTATTTTGATACTATAATATAGATTGCATGGATTACTGCAAAAATTCACTTTTGCTCCTATTCTGTCTACCTAAAAGTTTGAAACTAAGACTTGTATTACAAAGATTCTGCATGTCCTCTCTAAAGTAAGGATGTTAACTAACGAGTAATTTACTAGTTGAGTAGTTAATGGAATTTGCGTCTACTAGTCAATAGACACTTCTGCATTCCTCCTTTGAAATGTACAAGAGCCCTGCTGGGTGGAACATGGAACTCCACGTGCAGCCTGGGTGCCATAAGAGCACTTCCACTTTGAAATGCACAGGAGTCCCCAGTGGGGCTCTTGTGCATTTCAAAGCAGAAGCGCCCTCATGGAGCCAGGAGTCAGGGGAGGACTCAAGAGTCCCCTGCTGACCCCGGGCTCCATGCTGCGCTGCCGCTTTGAAATGCCATGTGGAGCCTGGGGTCTTCTCAGCTGACCCTGGACTGTGCACAGCCTTTCCGCAGAACTTGGAATCAGCTGCAGGCTCCACACACTTTGGAATTTTTAATACAGATGTATTCATTAATTGAAGGCACATTTGCAAACCAATTGAGTGCTATACAAATAAGAACAATTTTGACTACGTTTTATTAGTAGGTGTTTGGATCTTATTTTCTGTTTAATGTAAAAAAGAGGAAAAAATCTAACGCTACTTGTACATGTGTAGGCTGATATATTGAATTCAGATCTTTTCATGGTAAGTGTTTAATATGTTAGAAAATAGGCACACCCTTATATGCAAAACAATACATTTTAAAAGTGTAGTCAACTTTAATCATGGATTTGTTTAAATCTAGTCAAATAGAACTGCTGATTTATACATTTTGTAGGAGATTAATTTTTCAAGTTATATAAATTAACTTGTAATCTGGAAATGAATCTCGCATACTTTTCACAAGAGTTTGATACTCTAATCCAGTGGTCCCCAACCTTTTGGGGCTGCCAGGTGCTTGGGGGCGGGGCTACTCACACACCGGGCACTCAGGGGCAGAGCCGCCCATGCACCGCACTCCCAGGGCCGGTGCCGCTCCTGTGCCATGTGCCCAGGGGCGGGGATGTCCATACGCCGCATGCCCAGGACTCAGCAGCACCTATGCGCCGTGCGCCTGGGGCTGGCACCGCTCCTGTGCTGCGTGCCCAGGGGCAGGGATGCCCATACGCCGTGTGCCCGGGGCCGGCTCAGCCCATGCACCATGCAACCAGGGGCAGGGCCACCCATGTGCTGTGCGCCCCGGGCTGGCGCTGCCCCTTTGCTGCGCTCCCAGGGGAGGAGCCGGCCCCAATCACTCAGCGGGCACACAGAAGTGGCCCGGCAGGCGCCATGGCACCCAGGGGCACCGCGTTGAGAACCACTGCTCTAATCATCTTTACAAACATGTTACAGAACACATCCAATATACATCATCTTAAAGCAACATAAAAGACAAATGAAATTCCAACAATTATGCAACTGTATTTTAACTTTGATAAATTCTTGATCCTTTTAAGAGATCCACAAAGATACAAAAAGCCATAAAAATAACTCCTACAGTTCTTTACTGAAAACACCCTACTACAGATACTGGAACTGATTTTATGTATCTATTTACTATGTAAAAATATGAAGAAATATTGTCTATATTCTAAAGCACAAAGTGAAGAAGTTTCCACAATTTCATAGTGAAAAATTTGGCATATGCAGTAGCTGCAGCATATAGCTGCATTACTCCCAAGTAAAAAACACTATCAGGTCATTTAGGCACAAGATCTGGGTTATTTACAAAACAAGGGGGAGTAGTTTATAAAAGCTAATATGAAGTGAAAAATTTTGATTAAAAAAATCTAATGAAATATTTAAATAAAGGGTTTTCTACAGTGTTGTAAACAAGTATCGTGTAAATGCTGGCAAGCCAGAGTATAAAATTGACTAGACAATGAAAGTCAATTTAGTTTTCACTGTCTAGACCAAGTACAAGTTAAATAGCATGTTTAGTTAAAAAAATTTAGTAGCCTTTATTAGCAACACTTTACATGTTAAATATGATTAAATTAATCAGTATCATGTTATGAAGCCACTGGGCTACCGTATTCTGTAGTATTAGTATTCTTACCAGTACTTCCAGCTATCAGAAAGGAATAAAAAGTGTCATCCAAGGGGTTTAAATTTTTTTCAATTTGTAAATATATTTTTTTTTAAATGAAAAATTCACATTTTGCCAATAACCATATAGCATTTCTCCCTCCTCTCACTCAATGCAAGTCAGGCAAACATCCTATAAGTAAAAAACCCAAAGATTTGTCTATAAATCTGAAGCATACAGTGAATGTCAGACACTTCTATTTGAGATGTAAAATATCATTCCACAGTGTTGTAAAAACAAAAGCAGACTGGACAGTTTATAGTAGTTCCTGTGTATAACTTGAACTGCTGTAGATCACCACCAAACCAGTGTAGGATTCAAATGAGACACCATACTATTGTGAGAGCTGCCACAATGCCATTCAGTATTGCCATACTATAGCCCATGTGGAAGGAATGCCCCGTCAGTCTCCTGGAGAGAAAAACAAAATGGTAATTAATACAACAAAAGAGTAAGAATGAGAACTCTCAAAATTACTCAGTGTATATTAAAGCCTTTATGGTTCTAAAAGTAACAACTATTTAAGAGGATTGGAAAGCAACATAATGGATTTTCAGGGGATTGGGACTATCAGAAGCAAATAAGATTTTGTTGGGCTCAGTTAATTTCTGCCCATATTCACAAAAAACCTCATACAACTAGCATATTTGTTTACCTCTCTATTCATATGACAGAACTGACTGGTCATGAAGTCTAAAATATCCCTAATTTTAAGAGGAGAATATCCTGGGGTGGGGGTGGAGGGAGAGCAGGGGAGGAGGAGTTTGTTACATAAAAAGTGTCCCTAAACAATAAACAGAAGGCAAAACTGGGATAAGGGGAATTGTATTGAAAGATATTCTAGGAGTTCCAGGAGACATCAGCATATTAAGAATTCACCAAACTGTCTTTACCCAAGAACACTTTATACATCATTGGTGGTATTTTTCAGTACATCATACAAATCCCATCTTTTTGTTCGACCAAAGGAGGGGGAAGAAAATTTGAATTAAACTGTTTTCTCACCATATTTTATAACAAGTCTATGAATCCCTTTCCACCATACTATTCTGGACAGCAATAGTATGCTTGAATACAAGCTTTGCATATCATCACCAGATCTCTATTTTCCACAATTTTGTAGCTGCAGATTTTGCCACAAAAACTTAAGCTTTCACTTAAAATTGTATGGTTCTGAAGTTAGCACTGCCAAGTTTCATGTGAAAGGCTAACAGTCTACAGACTGAAAGAGTAGCTTGGAGGTATGAAAGTGTTAAGACAAGACAAATAAGGACAAACTGAAAAACTAGACAAGGTAAAATGAAAATGTTTTACTGGTTATGCCCAGTTAATCTGTGTATTCCTCTCCATGGGACTCTGGCCTTGTCTACACTACTAAGTTTTGTTGCCAAAATCTGACTTTTGGCCACAAAACAGTCAAAGCAATACAGTTGGTGTCAGGAAAAATGCCCAATTTTGGCACCAACAAACTTCGACCCTTAAGACTTTTCGCCTCCCTTTACTGTGAGCAAAGAGCCAGTGTTCACACTGCTATTTATCAACAGAACTACCTTCCACAAGTATCCCACAATGCCTGCCCAAACGCTCTGCTCAGTAGGCATGCACTCCTTCCCTTTCAAAGCTCCAGGAAGCATTAAGACAGCCGAGCATGTTGCTCCCTTAGGGGAACAAAGGACACATCATTGGTCCGCTCCTGTTCTGCTCTGCACTAGGAACACGGGGCAAGCAGACTGCTGTTGCAGGGGTTGGGGGGAAAACTGATGAGCTGTTTTGACATTCTTAGGTATAGAGAGTTCACAGAGCGACTTCTCATGTGGTTCCAGGCAGCTGAGGAGGCTGTGGGAGAACTGAGGTTCCAAGATGCACAGCAATCAGCTCCGCCTTCCCACAACACTGCACTGTGGGATAATACTGGCAAGTGCATTGCTCACATTCAATGGGGCTTCCAGAGTGAACATGTTTTGTTAGAGGGAGCAAGTGTGAACACTCTGTGGTGATTTTTGTTTTATCAGTCAACATAAGTTTTGTTGAGAAAACGTGATAAAGTAGACAATGCCTCATTGAAAGGTACTGGTCAGTAGATCTGTTGGTAGTTAAAAGTTCTTTGGATGGAATTAGTGGTTTACCATCTACCATGATCATTGTGGCTGGCATAATAGTTCTCATTAGATTGTGTGCATTTGATGACATCATCCCTTACCCAAATCCCAGTGTTTACAGCCATTTCTTATCCCTCATTAGGTGCCAACAGATGGAAGTTTCCTACCAGCATACACAAGCCTTTAGCTTTTCCCCAGCAGACAAAATATGTTATGAGTTAGAGTAAAAATTCTTTCACAAGTAACAATAAAAATGTAAACATTTGAACAGGGAAAAAATTGAAACCTTTCACACGCGGTTCCACAAATATGAAGAACCACAAATATGAAGAACTCTCAATTTTGAACTTATTGCAGAAATCGCAACATGCCTTGGAAAAAAGCAGCCTAGGTACACAATTGAGGTGCAGCATTCTAGAGAGTAGCATGGAATAATTAAAATATAATACGATTTATTTAGAGACTTAGAATACACTTAAGCATTTAGAAGTGCGATGTTAAAGCCTTTGCAAAGTCTTTAGTACAACACGCAGCAACGGTTCTATTTTAACTTGAAAAAAATGCATGGCTGCATCAGGGTAAAGTATTTGAATTTAATATCTCAGAACTGAGTCACTTTTCTTTTCTAATTGAACCAAGTCACAGATCAATCTTCAATTCATTATATTTTCTGAAGACTATTTCAGGAAGAAAAACTTGGGAGATTTTTTTTTTTTATGAACAGTTTCATGTTGCAGAGTCCTCTGTAAAAAAAGCAAACAAAGCCTGCATAGTCGATCAAATGCTTTCCAAAGTTCCGCTGCAGAGCAATACAAAGCAAAAGATGCAAGGATGACAAATTGTAAGTATATTAAAAGAATGCTGACTCTGCACAGTAACAAACTGTGAATTAAGGTTGCCATGCACAAGTTTAACAGTAACCACCCTTGCACTTGTATTATATTGTGTAATGGGAGGGTACTGTATTTTGTATGGCACAGCAGTGCGTAATACCTCAGTCACTGCTATTTATACATGTAGTCACAATTAGGTGATAGAGGTACAGCCAATCTCCTTTCTGTTCTTGCAGAGTATGTGTCTCAGGTCTTAAGCCTCTTACCATTACCTGCCTCAGAGTGGAATTTTACAATTCTACTCAGACTGGGATTTGAATACACTATAAAGGATGTTAAATATCCATTAATTGAATAGTCGATGCACTTTGCATTGATTAGTCAATAGGACGCCTCCGCCTTTGAGGCGTAGCAACAGGCCTAGGGTTATTGCTACACTTCAAAGGTGAAAGTGCTGTGTGGAGCTTGACATCAGTGGGGGACTCCGCTGACCCTGGGCTCCGTGCGGTGCTGCAGCTTCAAAATGCCATGAGGAGCCTAATGCTGGGCTCCCCATGGTGTTTCAAAGCAGCAGCGCTGCATGGAGCCCGGGGTCAGTGGAGGAGTCCCCAGCTGATCCCAGGCTCCATGCAGGGCTGCTGCTTGAAATGCCACGTGCAGCCTGGGGACAACCCAGCTGGTGCATGCGGTGTTTCAAAGCAGCAGCGCCATGTGGAGCCTGGGGGCTGGCCCCAGGCTTCACGCGGTGCTGCTGCTTCGAAGTACCCCTTTTCTTTCCCCTAACTTGCTGCCTCAGGGATAAAGCAACTAATGGGTCAACTATCCAATAAGCATTTGCTTATTGGATAGTTGACTAGTCCTTCACATCCCTAATGCACTGTCTTCTGTATTATCACCACACCCATTACCACACAGGTCCACCTCTGAGCACTTACTTGATTCTTTGGGAACCTGTGAACATTCATATTAACTACCAGCATTCTTAAAATACAGTATAAACAAAATGCAGTAGAAACAAATTAGACAATATGGGCTAGAGAGAATGACTAGTTCAGTGGTTACAATACTTACCTGGAAGGCTCAGGTTTCAGTCCCTGCTCCAATTATCAGTTAGTTTGTTTTTTAAGTTAAACAGTGGAATAGCTTCAATATGAGACACTGAGATCCATCGTAATCATACAACCAATGGCCCAGTGATTATGGCACTCACCTTGGAAGACCTGGTAAGTCCCTGCTCCAAGTCCAGCAGAACTGGGATTTGACTGTGGGTCCCCCAAATGCAAAGGATATGGGCTCTAACTGGGCTACTGAGTATAAGAGAACTGGAACAACCCCCCACCCCTACACACACACCTGTTTTTCTTGAAAAAGAGCTGATCTGGCTTAGATATCTACCTCCACAAGAGGGCTCCTGGCAGTGAATGCAAAGCTGTTAAATACCTCCTTAAAGCACAGAGATAGGCAATTAACACCTTTTAAGGCAGTAGTCTCCAACCTTTTTACACCCAAGATCACTTTTTAAATGACAGAAAAAGCCAGGATCTACTGCCCCACCCCTTCCTTGAAGCCCCACCCTCTCTATTCTCCTCCTCTCCATCACTTGCTATCACCAACCCTTATACTGCTGCTTTTCCCCCCCCAATTCTTCTGTAGGAAGAGGTTTTTCCAACATTTGGCCTATCTAGACCGGACCAAATATCAGAAAAACCCCTTCTTTTGGAAGCCCCCTTATTCCTCGTGGAAAGAGGCATATAGGGGTTACCGAAAGATCATGTTTGCTCTTCCATTAAACGAAGCGGAAGAACAAACGCATCCCTGGATGCGGAAGAGTTTCTGGGATCTCCAGAATCCTGAAAAACTGCTGCAGTCTAGTCGTACCCTCGCTGGGTTGAGACTGATGTGTAGGCTCCGGGGTGGGAATGAGGGATTTGGGTGTGGGAAGGGGTAAAAGGTGCAAGCTCTGGGAAGAAATTTGGATCCAGGAGGAGGTGGATAAGGGGACGCTGGCTCGGCGAGAGGGCGGCGAGAGGGCTCCAGGCTGGGCAGTGTTGGGATCAGATGTAGGGTTAGGGTACTAAGCAAGCCACAGACTTCTGGATGTGAGGGTTCAGGAATTTGGGTTGGGGTATACGAGGGGCTCAGGGCAGGGGGTTCCAGTGTATGATAGGCTCAGATGTAGGGTCTGGGGGAAAGGGGAGTACAGAGAGTGTTATGATGCCGTGGCCAGATGGGGGCTTGGCTGGCCAGGCTTCATTTTTAAATAAAATACTACATCAAACACAAAAAGTTTCTGCATTGTCTTTATTTATAAGAAGGGCAGGGAACCTGTTTGAGTCAGGGGTCACTGACCCACAGAAAAGTCAGTTGGGGCCACACAAGTGAGGTGCAAAAAACCCCCTCCAAAAAAACCTCCTCCAAGCACCCCCCCCCAAAGCTTCACTAATGTGGCCCCAACTGTGTTGGTGGGAGCAGGCGACAT